CCGAGAGGTTTCAAATAGTTCTTTATATAAAACAGCACACAGTTTCAATTTTAAATCAGCGGGCCATATGAATTCCAAACGGCGCCATCTAACGGGGCGCCATGCAGGACAGGCATTTTTGTACCTATAACTTTCATGAAAAATGAGTTTTGTGACACAAAACTCATTCTGGCATCCTGTCCCACAAAACTCATTTTGTAACACAAACTCAATTCTGTCGAAGGTTTCACAAACTCAATTTTGTAAACACAAAACCGCAATTCTGTCGAAACGGCCTTACCACAAACTCAATTTTGTACAACACAAACTCATTCTGTCGAACCGGTTCACAAAACTCGATTTTTGCTTGCCCAAATATTGGCACACGCATGTAGAGGGTACCATTGGTCAGAAACTGGGCGGGGAGAAAATTATGTCACTGGGTCGCCATCTGTTTTTTGACCATGTAGCCCCTTCTTACATGCCGTGTGCCATATTTGGCAAAATTGATGTTTTTGTGGAACCGCGTTCGACAGAATTGAGTTTTGTGTTCACAATATGAGTTTTGTGGGACAGGATTGACACGAATTGATTTTGGGGGAACGGTTCGCAGAATGCGTTTTGTGTTACAAATGAGTTTTGTGGGACAGGATTGCAAGAATTGAGTTTTGTGTTCAAAATATGAGTTTTTTTCCTTTTTTTTTTTTTTTTTTTTTTTTTTTTTTGGACAGGATTGACAGATTGAGTTTGTGCAACCGGTTTGACAGATTTGAGTTTTGTGTTTACAAATGGTTTTGGTGGAACCGGTTTCGACAGAATTGAGTTTTGTGTTTCAATGAGTTCTTGTTGAAACTGGTTCGACGAATTGAGGCCCTGTCCCTGCATGGCGCCCCGTACCATCAATTTTACTCTGTACTAAAATATCAATGACTCAAGTTAAAACAAATGCTCGAGATGCATGGTCCACAAGTTGTCCAGTCTGCAAATTTTCACGTCTCTATATCTTCCGTGAACGGAAATATTGCTAAGTTTGTAATTTTATGGCGGCCATTTTGAATCCAAGATAATGGCCAAAAACGCCCTTGGATCACATGCATCACGTTGTTGTATGAAATAGTAACCCAAATTACGTACGTCTGTCAGTCAATTTTTAAATCTGTACGAAGATTATTAACCGAGATGAAGTTATTTTTTAAGAAATGACGGCGGCCATTTTTGAATTCAAGATGGCGGCCGAAGTTGTAGTTGGATCGCGTGTGTCCTGTCTTTAAATGAAAGAGCATACAAAAGTATGGAAGTGTACCAATTTTCACACTTTTTTCACATTTTGAACGATTTTGATGGTATCCTGACCTTAACCGACTGTACTAATATATATTGTATATATATACCGGTATAACATATAATATGCGGGCGCGTGGTTATGAACAATCCCACACTATACACGATCATACAAGATTATTATGTAGACGGGACACTATATAGACGAGGCATTGTTTATTGTGAATATGTACATGCCTATACATATATATATAGTGGCGACCTAGAAACCGCAAGCCGCCGCACATACGAACTAACGCATCTCTCTCAACCACGCATCTCTCCATTGGGTTCGAGTTCCAATTAATGTTTTGGAGCACACTCACGCGTAGACGCGTTCACGCGGGCAAGCACACACGTACGCGCTCGCACAGACAAAATACCATCCCAATTACAACTGTGTGTACGAGATAACTATACGCTATAGAAATCTTTGTTCACACCGATTTTCCCTAAACGCGAGTGGCCATCAACGGAGATTTGGTTGTCTATGGCCTTCGATCAATGCTACGTGACAATGTTATTCATGCACGCATGACAACAGTTGGTAACTACAGTTGGTACACAGACTGGTAACTACAGAGTTTGCGGGCATGCAGCAAGGAAGCAAACTGTGAAATTCACAAACGTGTAAACCAAAAATCATAGCAAATAATCGAACGTAAAAATGACAGTCAACATGTATGCAGCGCTGCTCAATTGTAGCAAGACTGGACTTGGCAAAACATTTTTCTTTTTAAAGTCGCACTTTTAACTGCACATATCTTAGCGTGTGGACAATTCGCCACCAACATGATCTTTACCCGTAACGCGACATACCGGTTCCCTGCCAGCGTACAGCAGTGCGCATTGCTCAATTACCCGCGGGCTCATCAGGAGAAAATCTACCGCATCCGGCTCGTAATCTCTGGTTTCTCTCATTTCTCTCGTTTCGTTCACGTGCTCTCTACGTCGCCTACCCGAGTACGCCTACATGACCTTGGCGTTGAACAACAGATCGGAACAGAAGAACCTGTGGTGATGCCTATCGAGGTATAAAACTCGGACCTATTTCCGCTTAGTGCTACTCACGTAGACCATCAATATAACCGCTAACCATATACGTCTGCGCGTGCGTGTGACCTTTTACGTGTCTACGTTTCATTTCAACGCATCGCTGTCAGCGTCATTGGCTCAACAATGCTATCTTTGAGTTGCCGTTCCTCTCAATCGACACCCAATCGGCGCGTTCCATGATTGAGTTACCTTGCCACCGCCTCATTAATTAACAAGGCCGTAGCCTCTGGGGGGAGCAAGGGGGCAGTTGCCCCCTAGATTTTGGAGCAAAATTACAAAATAAGCTCAGATAATAATCGTAAATAACCCTAACGTGGGTTTTTTGGTCACTTGTCCGTGAAAGCCTTGTTTCAGGCCCACCCCTACCACACTATGGACGTCGATCAAGAGCTGCGCCCGTCGCTCATCATTACACAGTTGAGTCATGAAATTTCGCCGCCCTAGGAATTATTTGCTCAGCCTACGGCCCTGTAATATGATTTGTTCGTCGGGTACAGACTGTCAGAAACGACATACGCGCGCTGTCAAGCCCTGTTCATTATGACCAACTTGACAATTAACAAATTACAACGCACACGTTCATGCCACCATTGTTCATTCTAGTGCGCAACGTTTATAGAAGTCAGCGGATCCGTGCCTACATGTTTGGCTGGCTGCTATACGTGACCTAACTGAAGCGATGGACCGTGCAGATGCTGCTATTACGTTTAGTGAAAGTTAAACACGTGCAAGTTGGGATAGTCGAGAGAGGGAGAGTTCTGGTCGAATGCGTATAGGTCAGACGTGCTGTTACCTCTACGCGCATGCAACTCGAGCTTGGCATAGCATTTCGAGTGTCGGTACGTGCGCAACGTCGTCTCATTGACACAGATCGGCTGAAAGATTCATCATTCTGCATGTAGTGAAGGTATGTCGATTACTAATAGTATAAAGACATAAACTAACAGCAGCTAAAGGCCATGTACCAGATGAATTGTGCACTTTTGGGCAAAAGCATAAAAATTGGCACACAGGTAGTTAAAGATGTGTATATTCGTGTGAGATCGGGTACCCATCTTCATCGAAATAGTATTTGGGCGCGCCATCTTATAAGGTATTCTCGTTACGTACGTAATAAAATCCAGTTAGACGGACGCGTACAACCTGGATTTCAGTTTTCGTTGAAGTTTCTCATAGTCACTTTTCGGGTGTTAATTAAGAACCTTAACGTTACAGCTCAGAGTATAATAAATGAAATAGGAAACAGGTGAGTTATCGGGGGTTAAATACGAGTCAGGCATACATATATATTATAAGCAAGCTATAAATACCTATCACCCATTTTACTGCCAGATATTTCTTGCATTTATATTAACTAGTGGTGTTCAATAATAATCATTTTTCATATGATGTTTGTATATCTGTGCTGTGTAAATTAGGTCGGGTATATAAACAACAATTATACGCGCAACGGCCAAACGGCTGATTAACTGCCATGGTCTTCTGCTGGACTGCGCTAGCTCACCATAAATATATAAAAATGTACTCGCTTTATTCATTTTAAAATCACTTATTTAGCAGTTTAAATTTATTTTAACTGAGTCAAATGCTACCTTTGGAATAAATCTTTCTTAAAGGTTGAAGAATTCTGGAGTTTGCTACAAGTTGAGGTTTAGCTTGTCCCGACATTGTTAAAAGCAGCACGAATAAACCGGTATAATGGCCTTCCCCTTACATCGTCGCTATTAATAACATTAGGTTAAAATTAATAGGCATTTGACCTGTGATTTTTTTCAGGGACTTGTAATTATGGCCATGTTAGAAACTAACATGTGTAATTTTATTATTACCTCATTATCATATTATCTAAAATATGAACTCCACTGAGGTTGTATGACCCCAACACAATATTAAACTAATGGCGCTTTAAATGCGTAGTGCAAACATAAGCCGTGATTTCCTGATATCAATATCACTATACAATTGTGCATATAAGCCAAAAAGAAAGAATTCTATTCAGTTTCTACGGCTATCGCTTCACAAATCACATGAAGAATGGATAAACTGGAGGCCATTTTCTGTGTCGACTGTTGAACGTCAAGTCAGATGATAGTTTGCTGTCACGACAACTATCCGTTATACCTATAAGCAGCTTAACTGCACTCAAAGCAGATCAGATATATATGCGGAAAAAAGTTAAACCCCGTGGACTAAATAGAATACGATTAAAGGTCACAATTACTGCCAGCGATGTCGGATTATTCCAGTCCGTGAGTTTTATAATAATGAACGAGTCCGTAAAACACGGGTGATCCGAATTTAAGAAATTAACAGCAGCATTTCCGTTTCCTGAAATGCCACCAGAAGATTGCTATCTAAATATTCAGAGGATATGCTTTCCTTAAGTGCTACCTAGAAATAGAAGAATGCTATCTAAATATTCAGAGGATGTGGAGCCCTTTCGCTGAGAGGGTCTATCGATCTCCCCCGGGGTACTGCCGGAACGTACCCTGGGTAGGGTCCGGTATACCGGAACGTACCCTGGTACTATCTAATATGCCGGACCGTACCTCGCCTACTCCACTAACGAGTCTAGGGAGTCGCCTACGCCTACTCCCTAACCCGAACCCGAACCCTAACCCTAACCCTAACCCTAACCCTAACCCTAATCCTAACCCTAAATATATCAAATAGTGACCAATGTACGTTCCGGTATACCGGACCGTACCCAGGGTACGTTCCGGCAGTACCTTGGTAGACATAGACCCTATGAGCTATATGCGTTCCTTAAGTGCTACATAGGAATAGAAGAATGCTATCTAAATATTCAGAGGATATGGTTTCCTTAAGTGCTACCTAGAAATATAAGAATGCTATCTAAATATTCAGAGGGTATGCTATACCTAGAAAAAGAAGAATGCTATCTAATTATTAAGAGGATATTCTTTCCTTAAATGCTACCTAGAAATAGAAGAATGCTATCTAAATATCCAGAGGATATGCTTTGCTTAAATGCTACCTAGAAATAGAAGAATGCTATGTAACCATCCAGAGGATATGGGGTACTATAGTAGGTCGTAAGACGTTATAGTAATTTCTACAGACAATGTCTCACCTGATATAACTAACCTTCACCTTCAGGTAAGAATGCATTTCAGTGGAATTGCTGTGTCACGATATGCTGCTGAAGCGTTATTTATTGGTGTTACGGTGGAATACGCATCCGCGTTGCATGCAGGGCAGGTCTAGACTGGCGCCTACAGAGAAAATAATCGTGTAATTCTTGCATTATGCTATAATATAATTAACATAATTATTATACTATGATGCAATAATAATAATGCATAAGTCGAATAATAATGACATAGATCAACGTATAGTTACGTGCAAATCTAGTAGCCTATGCACCACACAACACCATACAATTACCACGCGGGTGGCTCACGATATCACGCACCCTAAATGGCAGCTGTTGGGTTTATTTGTCGTTTAAATCTATTCTGGTAGAGCCGCTTCTGCAATAACGCGTGCCCTAGGGACCGTAAAAGACTATATAAATGCCAATTGAGCAAACCAGTTCTCAAGGTTGTTACTTTTCTTCCCTCCCCGCCTACCCTTTGGAATAATTAAAACGGAGTCAACAAGCATGTTGTGAAATATTCCACGTGATAACTTCGTTAAGTTACTTTACTTACGTAGGGCCTACTTAGCGCTTTGCTAGTAAACTTGTGAAAACAGTTAGCAGAATAAACGGCTGATTTAACTTTACATATAGGCTATTATGCATTACTATATATCAGTAGCTGGGGGTATAATAATCATTTCCCGCTAAAAACGCGTAAGAATGAAAACATTTAAACTTGAAAAGCTAAAGTTTAGATCCCTCTATATTTATACATTGCTTTTGGCCACCTATACTCGCAATAAGAAATTATATCTCTTCCTAGGTGACTTTATTCCCCATTCATCCCGTCCTTGGCATCGGGGATCTTTGCATTCATTCCTCGTCGGAAACCTCGATTCCGTATCTGGGGCAGTCCTCGGGGGGGGGGGGGGGTACTCCGCATAGTGACGTATATATCCCATAACAGCGTTAACCGACTGCTATAACCCTTCAACAGATGGGTACATATTTATGAAGCAATAGGTAAATCATAGTCATACCAACGCTAGTACTATATGTGTGTCGGTGCTCTATCATACAGCACACTATTGAAAAATTAAATGGGTTTGTAGAGCAGTACCTGCATAAATTGAGCACATGTCGGTACGCATCTCTCCTCTGCTCTATATATATATATATATATATATATATATATATATATATATATATATATATATATATATATGGTAAAATGTACTTCTTATTGATATTGCTGTATACAGCAACAAAGCATTTACCCATTCCGGCTGTTTACCATGCTACCTAGCTTTTATATAACGTGGGCTATTTTAGAGAATTTTTGCAAGACACTAGAGACAAAAGAGTGCAATAGGGTGGGGCCAAGGAGACAGAAGAAGAGAAAGAAAAATTAAAAGCAAGCGCGTGTGCGTATGTGTGTAGATGGGAAAATAGGTGAAGAGGGGATATTCGTTAGGATACGTGGATATTGTTGGATTGCGATGGCACATAGCTATACAGTTTCAACGGGACTATCTGCACGAAATTCCTTAGTACAGTCTCTACCTTTCTACTGCAATAGATCTGACCTACCTAAAGCACATGCCATACATACTGTTTACACACGCCATGTTAAAGCTGGGCGATCCCCAGCAACCCATGCTCAAGCTGTAACAATGGCAATTTAACTGTTGTTACAGAACATTACGGGCCTATACGTCCTATTTGCGTACCGAAAGGAAAGTAAAATCATCCCAAGATCTACGCCAATCTTTGTCATGTTTTCGTTATCAAAGGTTTCTATTATCTTCGACAACAACCGCAAAAGTCTCACGCTGTATAGGGTATAGTCGCCTAAGAAGTATTGTTGTATTTTGCTTAAATTTTGCCTTCCGCATAGTTTTCCTTGTTGAACATCCACAAAATTTGGAATAACAGAAATACACAAGGTTACGGATTTACACCGTAGCACGCTTCCCCGTGCACACACACACATGCACGCACGCACGCACGCACACACACACACACACATACACACACGCGCGCGCGCACACACGCACACACATACGCACGCACACACATGCACGCGCACACGTACACACGCACACACACACGCGCACACACATACGCACACACACAGAACGGGGGGTGGGGTCGAAAAAAGGAGAGCGAAAGGGGAGATCAAAAGGTAGATAAACTGCGACCGACTTGATCACTATCTATGATTAATAGGTCAACATATAGGCCTTTGCTGCCCCACTACTGTCAGAAGTTGAAAGATTTTGGCAGCTTATCTCATGTGTAAAAGATGTAGGAGTCGCGATCTGCATAACAAATCTAATATTACGTAAATTGTCAATGCGCTATATAAAGGATTCCGTCGGTCCGTTTCCGTTTAAACCACACAAATTTAAACGACATTTTGTTTTCAGTGCGTGAATGTAGATCAGGGGTTAATAATGACAAATAATTATCATTCATATTATTAACAATTATTTATTGTCATTATTAACATCTGATAAATAGCAAACATTGCAGGATTTATACCATGGTGTAAATTTATTTTCTTTTTTTGAATATTTGCTAAATACACTTTTAGAGAGCAAAAGGCAACAACTGACGAGATGGTGCCCGTACACGTGCTACTAGCGTTGACCCTTCTACCTGTGAGTCATTAACCCCAAACTAGAACTAGTATTCGGTGGTAGTAGCATTCGCAGATTATACAGATGTATTGCTGTGCATACTTAATTGCTTCTCTTCCGTTTGAAATATTTAGGTTATATATAATCGTAACCGCCCTGGTTTGAGTTTTTTTTTACAATCTGGGGTATTCCATTGAGTAGCGGTGCTACAGATCGCATTGTTAATTACCCGACGTTCGTGTTATATTTAGTATTGATCTAGTATGTACATAATTCTTTGTTTCTATTTTACTAGTGCATCTCGGGGCAAGAACACACCGGCGATATCGGTGTCGCTACACCCAGTGAACGCCCGGATAAACCTCCATTTTTTAATGCTGGCGGGCCTGATCGTCCGTCCGGACTCCCTATAGACGTTCCGCCATACTTTAACACAGGTGGCGGCGGGGCAGGTCGGGTGATTAAGAGTGCAGATGAGAGCGGTGCTCGTGAGAATAAACCCCCGCCGAGCAGCGGCGCGAGGCAATCAAAGCATTACAGGGAATCTCGACCACGAGCGGCTTCACCTTTCTTCTTCGGTCCCGCGCACTTCCTGTCTAGTGTAAACCAGCCTACCATAGTTCCCAATCCCTCAGACACAGAGAAGAATGCGAACGACACGGAAAAAACAATACCCGTGACTATGGCGGAGCAGCAAGACGAAAATATCGACAATGAGAAAGAAAACAGAAGCGAAAATGCTGCTGCGAAAGGTCAGGGCGAAGCAGCGGCACAGATCCCAGCAGAAGAGCAACAGAGTCCTGTACAGCCAGCGGGAGATGAGACTGTTGATGTAACAGAAAATACTACAGCAGCGATTCACGAAGAGCAAACAATCTCTACTACTGGTGGCGAAACAGAGCAGCAGATAACCACGTCAACCGATAAAGTGGAAACAACCGATGATGTGGAAACAACCGATAAAGTGGAAACAACCGAGTCCACCCCTGATACAACCGGAGACATAACTACAGTAGTGGAAACGAGTGATACCGCAACCGATGCAACAAAAGATATTACGACAGTAGCCAGTGACGAAACGGCGACTGATGCGCCCTCTGCTGCAACAGAGGACATGAGCACACCAGCTGCTGATGAAGGCGAAACAATCGATGCTGTCACTAGTGCAACAGAGGACTTCACTACTGAAGACACTACTACAGAAGACACAACTACCGAAGATACCACTACAGAAGACATCACTACAGAAGACACCACTACTGAGGACAATGAAGAGGGAGTAACCGATGCGACCACTATTCCCACGGAAGAGCCAGTCTATGAAAAGGAAACGACTGAAGATCCGGAGACTGCTGAGTTAGCCTATGAAGATGACAATTCACGAGACCCACCAGTTAATCTGTTTTCTGTTGATGAGAAGGATACCGAGACGCAAGATGCGCAGCGAACATTTAAGTACGCGTTTGCGCCGCCATTGTTTTCTGCGATAGAGCAAGATGGCGCAGAGCAAAGCAATGACCCAGCATTTTATCCTATTTATCCGCCCTTCTCATCTTTCATTGAAGATGAAGCGATTGCACCTCCACTCTCCTCAGCAATAGAAAATGAAGATGCCGAGGAAAGAAATGATCCAGTTGAGCCAATTTTTCCACCCGTGTCATCGCCATTCGAGGAGAATGCACCCAGTGTTGATATTCCCTCTACTATCGATGAACGCATAAATGACAACAACGAACAAACATCAGACAGATTCCCTCTGACCAATCCACGCCAAGGAAGGCGACCACGCCTACATGACGTAATAATACCTGATGATAAACAGCCAATTCAAGACCCGCTAGCATTACGATTGTCTGCATTGACAACCAGGTTGAATGCCAACGCAGACGAAGATTCATCACCTCTAGTAATACCCGATGAAAGACTTCTACCACCTGTCTTTGATGATAAGCCACCCACTGAAGGACACTCAGTAGAGGAAACTCCCTCGGAAACCTTCTCATTTAATCCATATCAACGTAACGATGGCGAAATTGCGTTCAACCCTTTCTTTGGTAGTGCTCCCCCACTCGCACCCGTGAATGCACCACTGGATGCACCTTTTGCAGATGCTGTCTTTGCCCAAGGAGCACCAACGGTTGTGGAGACAGAGCCCTCTGACGCTAAATCACCTGCCCGTGTTCACAGTACACCCGATCTACCACCAATGGTGAACTTTCCACGTGACGAGATAGACGACATTGAAGAGAGCGATGATACAAATGAGAATGATAGGGACGATCCAATTAAAGATCTCCCTCCAATGTTTTCGCAAAATGAGGATGGAAATGACAAACCAACATCACCAAGTGTAAACGCGCCTTTCACGCCACCAATAAATCGAGGTCCTATTCCGCCACAATTTGGCAGCACGTCAAGAAAACAGTCACCCACTGAATCAGAGGCAGACGCAACTGGTTTCGATGCCTCAGCTCCATTCAATCCGTACGTTGGAACACAGTTCTTCTCTGAACAACCATCATTTAACCCTCAAGTGCGAGATCAGCTACTCGGCTCGAGAACGGGTAACTCTGGGAGACAAACACCTCCTCTACCTTCCCGAGGATCCCGGCCGGCAGTGACGGTACAAACACCAGGAAACCCAGAAGGTATCCGCACAACAACGCCCAATTTACGACACCAGAGGGCGGGACGACGCCAGCAACCACACCCTCAGTTTGAACATGGTCAGGGGCATCTTGATCCACGGGAAACTGTACAAGGTCGAAGAAACGGGCGGCGGGGTGGGTTTGCACCTGATTCTAGATTTGCTGAAGATACTGATTTCAGTGCAGGTCCTGCATATGACTCAAGGTTTAACCCAAGGTCTGATCCAAGGTTTGACCGGAATTCAGGGTATGATCAGGATACGGGATTTGACCAAGATCCGAGATTCGCACAAGATCCGAGATTCGCACAAGATCCGAGATTCGCCCAAGATCCAAGATTCGCCCAAGATCCCCGATTTGCCCAAGATCCGAGATTCGCCCAAGATCCGCGATTCGCACAAGATCCGAGATTAGGCCAAGATCCGAGATTCGCACAAGAGCCGAGGTTTGTTGAAGACCCAAGGTTTGCCCAAGACCCAAGGTTTTCCCAAGACCCAAGGTTTGCCCAAGACCCAAGGTTTGCGGAGGATCCTCGGGTTGGGCCAGACCCGAGATTCCGACAGGACCCCCAGAGCCAAACTTTCATCGAAAGGGGAGGAGAGTTCAGAAACACAATGCGCCAAGATTCGCGCGGAAGAAAATTCGTCGCCATGCCGCACGAAAACTTCCAAAGGGAGCAGCCGCCTCCATCGTTTGCAGGCGGGCCTGGTTATGTCGAAGACCGTCTGCCCCCATACCCAGAACTAAACGGGGTTCCATCGGAAGAAGGGCCGCCAGCCGTAAGAATCGGTCCCGGAGTTAGAATCACGGCTCTCACATTTCCTCAAGGCGACGGGGAGTACATTCCACGGGACTACGTAAGCTCGAACCGGAATTCGGAGAGGCCACGCGCTACGGACGAAGCAGGCCGAGCATTGCGACCGCGGGGCAGAGCCAGGTTTGTTGATTTAAGGTGTTTAAATGCCACATCCATTTCACCTGCCGCCACGCCTCACCTCGCCTGCGCGAAACAATACCACACGAAATCTCGCACTAGCGCTGCACACATATGCGTATGCAGGTCTATTATGCTCCCGGTGTCTGGCGATTCCGATTTGGGCCAACGAGTTTAGCGCGAGCTAACATTGTTCCTTTTTTCACGAGCACGCGCGAACGTAATTCTCCCACGATTGTCGATCATCGCGCGTTTATTTCTGCTCTGTATATTATACCGCAGTGAGGGCAGCTTTGCATCTAGTCCGTCGCTACGGCGTCGGCAGCAGCCGACACGAGGTCGGGTCGTGCTCATTTCGCGCGACGGCACCGTCTACCTGCCACCAGGGGCCGCACGCCGTCCCACGGGCCGGTAGGTCAATATAGTGTACACAACGCAACTATCACGGTGGTGTGTTTATGCACAAGCAGGTGTGTTTATCACGCCTGCTACATTGAGGTATTATCAAGAGATTTTTGATTGATTGATACCATCATTACCTTAAATTATTAGCTCTTGGTGTTATATAGGTGTAGTATTAGCTCTTGATCGTATTGATGGTGCGATAGGCACCCCAATTGACAGATGCGCACCTAGTGGCGTTTCCCGCATTCCTATCCTTCTCAGATACGGGGATAAGATGCGCATTGTTGCGCATGCGTATGTAGAAAAACCTCACGTCAACACAACAGGTAGAGATTTGTCCCGTAATGGTTTCATTTTCCGACGCGAATAGGCAGTAAAATCGTTCCCTGTATTATTATCCTTCTCAGATATATAGATACGTATATTGTTGCGCATGCGGTCGAAAAAACTCACCTTAATACATCAGGTAGAGTGTTGACCAGTAATGGTTTTAATTTTCTACGCGAATAGGCAGTAAAATCGGTGAACTAAAACGGAATACGAAACGTAAAGAACTGTCATTACACGGAACTGAACAGCTTTCACATGACTTTTATTGTTAACTATTATTTAACCTAACTGCCGTAACCTAAACAAAGAGAATTTCGTGTAAAAACACATCTCAGCCTCATTTAACCTGTTTCGTTGTGCACTTACAAAACATTCGGGTCACTTAGATTGTACATGCGCGTTGTGATACAAAACCACCGAAACAGACGGTATATGTTAACCATAAAGCTTTAGTACAAACAACGTGAGTTCATAAACCAGAGGCGGATAGACCCGACCACGGGTTCATATCTGACAACGAAATAACACGCGTCCTTATAAACACACACTTGTAAATACACACTGATAAAACTTGACGTATACGCTTTTAAACTGATAAACCCCTAATGATAATAATAAATAATAATAACAATAATAATAATAATATATAAATCTAATAATAATAATAATAATAATGATAATATAAATAATAGGGGTTTGACCAATTAGCTTTTTAGCTCAATTTATCAACACAATTTCAAACGTGAATAACATAAGATTCGTGTACATACATTTATGAAAAAAAATGTCCGAACACAATCGCGTGCTACAGCACTTTAACTAAGGCTCTAAGAATGAGGATATCGCTGATTCAAAAACACAAATTATCAACCCGTTTTATCTCAACAATATGACTGCTCTCGTCTCACTCTGATTGAATCCTTGAAGTCATTCCCATGAGGTCAGGGGACAGCATAGAAACCTTACCATAGCCGACCCGCTGTCATGCATCTCTACAGTGGAGATAACATCAAATTATCTCCCATCGGAAAATTCCTATAGACCTCACGGATCGGGGGAAACAATGTTTTTCGGTGTTCTTGTATATTGACTTCACTGATAAAAAAACCGTCATCTCAAAATTACGCCGTTCTTGAGGAAACACGCGGTAGTTTTTTTTTATCTGAGCGTAAAACGATGGCATCGTGTTGAATGGCGACTCTACCGCCAGACTGGTTTTAAAGAAAGACTGGTGTGTAGTAGAATATCGCGCTATCAATAATTCCTCGGCAAACGGTCCGTGTAAAATAATCTGCACTCGCTTCATTTTTTTCAGTCGCTTTTTCTTTCAACTGCAGCTAGTCGCAGTAATTTATGAAAAATAATCAGCAAGATGAAGAGTTCCTATTCATCATTCGACGTATTTACAATATATATACATATATATCATATATATATATATATATATATATATATATATAAATCGGATCCTGAATCAAAATAAATCTTAATCTGCTCTAAGTAGTGCATTATAAATTATACCTATAACCGTTGTAACCATAGAAATAATATAGATAACTATCACACTAGAGTGACTAGACTATACCACTATAAGATCTATCTATATTATTTCTATGATTGTAACAGTCAAAGCACGGCACGATTTATTTAGGTACCCATCGAGAGTGTATAGTTACGTTTATATCAACATTCAATTATACATTTACTGATATTTTATTTACTGTCTTTTTCCGTTCGCCATTCTCAAGCGAAATTTGCTATATATATATATATATATATATATATATATATATATATATATATATATATA